GAGAGAGAGAGAGAGAGAGAGAGAGAGAGAGAGAGAGAGAGAGAGAGAGAGAGAGCGCGAGTGAGTGTAAAAACAGATTTACAGAACAGTTACAATCTCAAAGCTCCTTGCTTTGGCTATTATTACGATGAGACAAACCCAACCTATTACACTTAGCATTCATGAAGAACAATTTAATTACATTTTACATTTGTTTAATAAAATAATAAAAATATGTGGAGATATACCTATCTCATAGAACTGGGAGGGACCTGAAAGATCATTGAGTCCAGCCCCCTGCCTTCACTAGCAGGACCAAGTACTGACTTTGCCCCAGATCCCTAAGTGGCCCCCTCAAGGATTGAACTCAGAACCCTGGGTTTAGTAGGCCAATGCTCATACCACTGAGCTATCCCTCCCCCCGTTTCAAGTTAAATATATCAGATATTGATAGAGAAAAGAGTGGAACCCAAGTTAAAATAAAACTCCCCAATAATTTCAGGCTACAATTTTGGCACTCTGGATTTAAAAAAAAAAAAAAAGAGACAACCCAGTGATTCAGAACTGAGGCTATTTGATCTTACCTGTCGGCAAGGTAAATGACCAAATAATGGTTTATCTTCATCAGCTAAAATTCGTTCTGCAGAAGTAAAAAAAAGTTTCAGTGCTGTAAATTTAAATAAAAATCTGCAAGCCTCTTGCCAACACACAGTAGTTACTAAAAACAAAATGTTACCTATAGTCTGTATTGTGTAAGCACAGCTACCCCAGCACATTATGGGTACACGCATATCTTCTTCATTGGGATGCACCTTCAGTCCCACTTTATATGTTGCAGTACCAAATGTTGTCAGCATCTCTTTAATGCTTTCAGAATAAAGCCTCCTGAGATATGAGAGAGATTGGTTTATTGGCATTAAAAAAGTCTATTCTGACAATAGGCAAATTAAACATCAAGTGGAAGCATAATATCTGAATGCTCTGATTTATACAAAGTTGACAGATCTTTTGGACCATATCCTGCTTACCTGACTCAAGCAAGTAGTCTACTAACTAAATAGTCTTGTTTGTGTGAATACTGGAAGAAGGATTTGGCATTTTAATGCTATTTTAAACAGTTTGTGCCATGCACTGCAGTAATCAATTTTTTGGTTGTCTGGATTAGACTGGAATTTTACATATTTGTACAGCACTATCCAGACTCTGTCCTCAACACAACTGGGTAGAATATAGTTAAGACTATAATGGGAGTAATATGTGCCAGTTTGAGGGCAGAATTTTTAATATACTTTCTCATTAAAAAAGGAGACTTGTTACACAACTATAACTGTTTCCAGATATGTAGATCCTGTAAATTACATTTCAATATATTAATGTGCTCACAACTTTGCACTTTTAAAAACATTTTATTTGGAGAGTTTTAAAGTATGACTTAATTAGAAATTCACAACTATTATAAAATCAAGTTTAACTTCGACCATGAAGTTATATGTATCTAATTATGTATCCATGAGTTTCTATGTGTGCCCAGGTTTACACAGACAAACAATACCAATCACTGAAATAGGGAACTGTAAGAGTATCAGAATCTGGTTCAGACGCAATAGCGAGGCCTTGATTTACACAGTGGATTTTTTTGCATGTTTTCAGTTATGCACTGTCAATTAATTGTGACCCTTTATTTTTGTAAACGATATGGTTCACTTTTATGCGGTGCAGCACGGTCGCCAAGATGCGTGAATCTGTGGCGTAGGTAGGACCAGACACTTGCGTGGGCCCCGACTGTGGGTGGGTGGGCAATGACGGGGGTGGTGGAGGGATGAGGCGCCTCCCCTCACCCCTCCAGCCGGCCTTGCAGGAGGCCATGGAAACTCTGGCCAGGGGCCCCCCCCAGCTCCAGGCATGGGGTCAGGGCGTGGGGGCTTGCCCCACTCCACCCACCCAACGCTCCTGCCAGGGAGCGGAGTCCGGGCTCGCCCCACCCTGCCCAGCACTCCTGCTGGGGAGCGGGGTTGGGGCACCGGGGCTTGCCCCATTCCACTCACCCAGCAGTACAGCTAGGTAGTGGGCTAGAGGGCTTGCTCTGCTCTGTCCGCCCAGCTAGGGGTGGCTCTATGTATTTTGCCGCCCGAAGCATGGCAGTGAGGCAGTCTTTGGCAACATGCCTGCAGGAGGTCCGCTGGTAATGCGGATTCGGCGGCATGCCTGCGGGAGGTCCGCCGGTCCCGCGCCTTTGGCGTACCCGCCACCGAATTGCCACCGAAGCCGCAGGACCTCCTGCAGGCATAAGGCAGCCTGACTGCCGCCCTCACAGCGACCGCGGCTTGCCGTGCTTGGTGCCTGGAGCCGCCCCTGTGCTGCAGTCGGGGAGCAGGGTCCAGGGGCTCGCCCTGCTCCGCCCGGTGCTCCTGCTGGGGAGTGGGATCAGGGCACAGGAGCTTGCCTGCTCTCTGGCTGGAATGTCGGGCGAGTGGAGTGGGGTAAGCCACCCATGCCCCGACCCCGCTCCCCAGCAGGAGTGAAGGGTGGAGTGGGGCAAGCCCTCAACCTCGCTGCCGGGCTGGAGCACAGGGCGGGTGGGTAGAGTGGGGCAAGCATTAGGGTTGGAGCACAGGGTTT